ATTCTCAAAGATTAATAAACTTTAAATTGAAATTAACATTTACCAATAATACATTCAATAATACATTTTACATACCCAAAATAAATAAAACAGAAACATCAAATAAAATTATGAAGACTGTAAACAAGACTGTCCTTCAGAAAAAGGTTAGTTGAGACCAAAGCATCAGACTGAAGACTTTTATTTTCCAGTTTTTGGTAGAGGGAGAGAAAAACTATAAATCACATAAATTTAAATGATTCAGCTTGTTTTAATTTACCATGTGATTGATTTATTGATGTAACAGGTCTATTATCAATTATCATCAATGATAAGACTTAGCAAATGTCGAAACATATCTATTAATATTTTTAACAATTTGTTAGTGGGTTTTATCAGCTCATTCTACCACAATCTTAATGTGACCCAGAGAAAAAAAGTGTTTTACACCCCTGCTTTAGAGAAAACATCATTTTGTTTTCATCTGCTTTGTTAAACATCACATTGAGGTCTTATTGATTCATCCAAACTCTTGAAACGGTACTTTTGATCTTACCTTGATCTGCTGGCGGAGCGATCTCTGCTCGCTGCCGTGATTGGTCAGGAGGTGGTGATGTAATCGCAGGAAGGGCGGCGTCGGGCTCTGGATTGTCCTCCATGTGGCCAGTGTTCCCGATCCCAACGCCGTCCCTGAGATGGAGGGATGCTAGCGATGACGCAGCCTGGAGCTCGTCGTCTGTCCCCAGCTGGAAACTCTCCGCTGCCATTTTCACAACGTCGACTGAATTGTCCAGCTTGGTTTTATTGAGGGTGAAGCAGGAAGTTGGGCCACGGTGCTGCTGACCACATACTATCAGCTCAGAGTTGCCCTCATGGTTGACCGATCAGATGGTGGAAGTGCGGAGATCATGGCTGCTCAGTGTTGCCAACGTAGTCCAAGGTCCCGTTGCTCAGCCACAGTTTTAAACGCATCATACAGCAAGCCGATGGCATCGCCAGCACATCCGGTCTGCGCTCGTCTTTAGAGCTTCTTCGTTCAAGCACAGTTCTGCTTATTCACATCAGAAGTAATGAGTCCCAACGAAGCTTGAGGATGCAGATGAACAACAGATTGATTTCTTCAAGGATTCATGAATAAACTTTTCCCAAGAAACCTAAGAGAACAAAAAACAAAAAAAGCAAACAAAAAAAAAAAGATGGAGGAAAGCGTCTGGTGAAAAGACCGAAAAGGCCAGACGGCAGCGCTCGGTGGAAATGCAGCATCCAGCATCGTTTGACGTCACGCTCAACATTTTTATTATTTATTCTATAACAGATTTCAGCCCTGACGCTGCACATTCCCCCAAGATTGTTTTTATTTCTGCTTTAATAATTTATCTGCTAAACCGTTTTTGATGCTGAGACACTAAATTGCCAGTTACAATTTAAATAAATAAAAATGAGAAAAATAAATTTAGCTTTTTCCTAAAAAGATGTGAAAGCACAAAATTTAATTTGTTCCTCTGCCACAGAAATACCCAAAACATTAATTTAATTTGCATTGTCAAAAACAAAAATTTATTTATTTATATCCAAAAGTAAAATATAAATCAATGTCATTGTGCACAAATAACAAAATTTTAAAAATAGCAATTCTTGAAGAAACGCAGAACAACTGAGATATTAATAATAAATAAATACTGTTCTTTATATTGTGCATTCATAAAAAAAAAAAAAAACAATTTGCAGCATTTTTAAAAAAAATGAACACAGATCATTTGGATAATTAAATTATCTTTAGGAGATTTTCTTAGGAGGTATACATAGCTTTTATTAATAAAAATATTACATATACACAAATATTTTATTTGTTGAAGGAAAATTGTTTTAATACTATTTTCTGTTACTTTAAAAAAATTATTTAACAAAATGAGCAAAAACTTTAAAATAAGTGTATATTTTTTAACATTCTTTAACAATAGAATTTTAAAGTAATTTTAAGAAGTCTGAAAATGTAAAAATAAAACGTGAAGCAGAAAAGATTTCACTTTGAGGCGTCTTTGTTTCTACTCAAACTGGGGGAAAAAACATAAAAGGTGTTGATGTAATTTTGTGAATTACAGTTTTATTTGAACTAAACTGTTACTGTAAAATTACTAAATGTAGAAATAAAGAGAAAAATTGAAAAAATTTAAAAAAAGAGGGACTTTTTCCTCGTTTGGGATTTAGTGGATTTCTCTGGACTTTGCTCCATGTAGTCCTGCTAAAGGTTTTATCTGTAGATGTACACATAATATACGTACAGCATTATGTCAGGAAACCCTTTACGTGACAGAGAATTGAGGGGGGCAGCAGCTAAATCCTGCTCCCATCCCATAGCGATGGATTAGTCAGCGCATTCTCCACAGTGTAACCTCTTATGGAAGGGATTTGTTTGGGGATATCCTTTAGTTGCCCTAGAAGGGAGGAAAAATTACCATAACGGCATGTTTAAGGCAAATATTGAAAGAGTTGCTTCACACGACTAATGATATTCTATCCTGAGGGATGAGGTGTGCAGAAAATGGGGGGGAGATTATTTTAAGTAATGGAAATGCAATTGAAACGCATCAAATTTAAATTCGTTTTTATCTTTTCCAAAATATTTACAATACTCTGTTTCAAAAACTAAAGATCTGATCCTTTAAGCATCATATCTGGCTGTTGGATAAATCGTCTGTTGGTTGTTGTTTTTTTTTTGGCGTTTTGATTACTGTGGGTTTGGTTTGTTTCAGCCAAAGAAACAGGTGAAAGTTTCTAAATTCATCAGCTGAAGCTACCTCCCTCATCCAAAGCTGAAGAGGAGAAAATGGCGTCGAGTGGAGATGGTTGGGATGGTACGCAGACGTTAAGTCGCCATGGATTGGTGCTCTTGGTTGACCATGTTGAGGTCGTATCGAGTCGATTATTGGTTTACCGACGCCAACATTAAGACAAATCCCTTTAAAACAGTTCATTTGAATTTTTACAGTATTTAGCCCAAAATAAGCAAACATCCACATAGGATAGTTCAACTAGGTTCCTTCTTAACCAGTTATTGTATTTTTACTGACATTCTCTTACTTTTATTTTTTTTACTGTGATTTGTTTCAGCCTTGCTTTCAATGTGCAAAATGAATCAAATGAAATAAGCAATGTGATGGCAACTGTTTAATTGATTTATTTAATTATTTAAGGAAATCCAGTGAGGAGGATTCGAACCTCGTCAGATGTCCGATTACACAGCGTCACTAAAAATGTCGTGATTTCAGGTATTTCCCTCCATGTTCTGTTTTAGTTGCAGTTTTGGTGAAAAAGTTTATTTTCTTTTTAACTGTTATTGATCGTGTCGCATCCGGAACTGATAACGGGACATCTGATGTACGCCATATTTTCCCAACGCCTTCAAGCTGCCCCCCCCGCCCCCATCCAACCCCCCATCACCCTGTAACTAAGCTCTGAACGACGAAGAGCCGTGGATGCAGAATATGCAGAGAACTTTCAAAATGGCAACTTTTGGAGCGGGCATCATCCGACCAGAGGAATCAAACGCCATCGAGAAGCTCAGCCACGCAGGACAGCATGCACCTACCTGGGCCAAGACGGAGGAGACCGGGGCAGCGTGGGAAACCAGCGTCTCGTCGACATCCATGAAGCGGCGAAGAGACGTTGCCGGACGCACACGTGGCTCCGATCAAACCAACCACTGGCCTATGTCCTCACGCCATCCTGTGTCCCTCCGCCCCCCACCGCCTCCCGCTCCTCCTATCCCGTGAAGCGTCTCCTCCACAGCTCTCCATCTTCTTCAGATCCTCTCCTGTTGGGTGTTATCTATCCCTTTGAAGTAGCACATTTTCCCACGCTGTCATTCCTCCAGGTTTTCCATCTCTTCCTCACGGAGCTTCTTGAATTTCAGCCTGATTCAAAGTCGGTGGCCACACTTTTAAATGCAGTGTGCAGGAGAAACTCCAATTATATTTAAAGTGCATTCTAAAGAAAAAAAGGGGGGGAAAAAAGATGACAAAGTCTGGATTTTAGAGCCAGTGGAGGTGAAGGAGGAGAAGAAGCTGCACCGGTGCAGCACTGCTCTTCACACTGCAACTCTTTTTCACAGTTTGAGTCACAGTGAGGATGCACTGTTGGGGGACACGAGCATGAGAATGAGACGGCAAGGGGAAAAAAAACTCCTATATAAATAAATAAGGAAAGGATGCCACTGTTGCTATACAGAGGAAGGGGCTTAGTAGTCTCCTGAAATCCTATTGGTCGGCCTGTTGCCATGTGCTCAGCAGTCAGCAGAGATGCTGCTAACAAATCAAGGAAATGTTCTAATATTAGACTGTATGTTTCCAGGCAGCGGGAGCCCCTGACCTCTCAACTCCGACTGCGTTACGTTCCACTTCACAGATCAGCATAATGAAACAAGTGGTGTGGAAGTAACTGGTTAAAAAAATGTTACGGCGCTGTAGACAAAACCAGACACCTGCCCCCTCCACCCCAGTACCAGGTCTCTCTCCGTGTCGTGCCAGGTTGACTGATCACAGGAACAAAATGAGGATGAGAGGCGAGGAAACCGTCTTTATTTTAGCCAGATGGAAATCATTCTGCATGGGTCCAGTCATTAAAATTTAAACTCTTTTTGACAGGGAAAAACGCATCACTAATGAGGAAGTAATTATAAAGTGGTGAAAAATTACACTTCTTCTTTTGCATTTTAAATTTCCTGCTTTTTAATCCCTTTTTAAATGGCACCCTAGATTGTAGTTTTTCCCAGCGGGAATTGCCCAAATGCACAGATAAAACTTAACAAGACGCTGTTTTTAGAAACCTCTGGTTATTTTCCTTTGCAGAAATATTTCAGTGAAACATTACCCAAAACATCTCTTTACCCCAGAGATCCCCAGACTCCTCCTCCTCCTCAGCCACATGCTAAAGCCAATGTGGGGATGGACTCTAAACTGGTTGAGATTTAATCTCTGCATCCAGATCTGGGTTTGTCCAGCAACTTCTTCCTCGTCCAGTGGACAGTTTCAGCCTTGAAAAGCCATTGATCATAATAAATTTTTATAAGCTACAAGAGTAAAACATGAAAGAGGATGAAAACTTTTCAGTCACTCTGTCCCGATTAACCCAAGCTAACAGACTTTATGGGATTCGTTCTCCAGCACTCTACTCATAACTGGTAAGGCCACATGGTGACAGCTTCCACTGGGTGCGTTTCCGTTAGGATTGCTCCGATTGCAGTTTTTTTTGGCCAATCGCTGATTACTGATCATTAAAAAGCCTGACCTGCTGATTCCTATTTTGACTGACACCGTTTTTTTGTCTGAAATGTCTCTAAATATAGTAAGAAATTCGCTGAATTGGCAACAGTGCAGACTTGACCTGGTGGGCCAGTCTGTCAGTCAAACCTCTTTAAAGGCAGAGCAGAAGAGGACAGTGGCTGATCTTTAGACCTTTGCTGAGGTAGAAAGATTAGGGGATAAGATCAGCTTCACATCTAAGTATCGGCCGATCACCGAACAATTAAGGAAAATCGCGCCCATAAATTGGCGCACCCCTAGTTTCCATTACAAATATGCGCAGCTTTGTAAGTATTCTGGCAATGTCGAAAAAACAGATTAATTATTTAATGAATGTTTCTTATTCACTAAATAAGAAACATGTTTAAAATCACACATGCATTTGTTTGTTCACATAATGGTAACAAAAAAAAGTACCATCATCCTCCAACTACTTCCTGTTGTCGATGTCTTTGTAGTTTCAGTCAGTGTCGATGTCTGATCATGTGCGAAAAAGTTTTTCATTGCAGTTTTGTGAAATGAACCAATTTAAATATGGCCAAAAAAACCCACCTCATCATAGTGTCATATTTTAAAGTAAAATTAGTTTTTTTTTTTATTATTTTAAAATCGGCGACTGGGCGAATTTATTTTTAAAATATCAAATTAGATGGTTAATGCAAACACAGAACTTTCTAGTCTTGCAGCAAGAAAGTCAAGCATTTGATTTCCAGCCACAATATTTCTGCATGTAGTTTCTATGTTCTCCTTATACAGGTATGAGTTTTTTCTTTCATCAGTTTGCTTGCTTGTTTGGTTCATTATCCTCTAAATGGTCGTTATTTCTGACTGCATGTTTCTGTCGTCCTGTGATGGACTGGCAGTCTGTTCATGGTGCACCAGGCTTCTTTTCCAATGCCTCTGAAGAAAGGAACTAGTCACACATGACAGCAGATATTCTGGCCTCGGAAACGAGCGATTGTTCTCTAATTTCGGTGTTTTGGTTGCAGGACTCTGATCTCAGACAGCTAGAGCTTCCCTGTGCTACATCACATCATGTAGGCTGCACTTTCACCACATTTATACGCCAAGAGCCTTAATTTCCAAGATCTTAATTTAAAAGATCTTAAATCTTGATTTACTTGTAGCTGTCGGTTGTTTATTTTTACTTTAAAATGTTGACTTATAGGCAATTTCTGTGTTCTACATATGCTTTGTTTCAAATTTAATGTAATAGCATGCCTTTATTATCCATTATATATATTAAATATTCTGCAGATTTTGGATTTCATACAAAACTCATCTTATTTGCAACATTTTCTTGGAGTGAATAAAAAACACATGCATATGAGACAAATTTATGCAAATATATTTAATATATCATTTATATATATTTAACATACAAACCTGATCACAATTTTTGACACGCCTGCTTTTTAAGCACAAAATGTTGAGTTCTGTGTTTAAGATGTAGGCGTGTAAATCGTTCTGACCAACAGATAAAGCAACGTTACAGGATTGTGGAGCTTTGCACATCCGTTCAGTAAGACAGGATAGGAAAGCAGGAGCGGAGCAGCACACATCAGGATTGTTTGGTTTGTTAGGATCGTAGCTGCATCTGTAAATCAGTGACAGATTTAATGTAAAACAATGGATGAACTCTTTTATATGCACATCAGTTAGCCGGTGTGAGTGTGCTGCCCTAAATAGTAAAATGTTAGTAATGTGCAAATACTGTAATGTTTTATTTCCCATTACAGAAAAAAAGAACTGTACTACAGAAAAGAACGGGTAAGTACATAATATAACCGTCCGCAACTTTCTTGGAAAAATACTATTCTCATATCAACAATACTTATAAATGCAGAATGTATAGCAGTACATATGCATTTAAATAAATGTGTTTAAGGTAAATTCCAGTGGAGCTTTTCACAGCTCGGATCCAGTTAAATGTTCTGGTCTATCGGGTTCGATAAACCGCAGAGATGCTGTCAGTCTGCAGGCCAGGACTTGTGGGGGTTTGTGGGGCTCCTGGGCTGAGCCTTTGGACTCCCCTGAACAGAGAAAATGATAAGGGCAGAAAGTGAAGTGAAGAAACCTTGATTCTGCTAAATACACAGAGAGCTTACTTAACTCTTCAATAGGTATGTATTATTTACATTACGGTCTATTCAAAAGCCTTTAGGTTCCTCCACTTGCTCTCCATTCGAGAATACATTCTGATGAAATGAAAATGTTACTTTACACATGAACCTGCCAGTGGCATGAACAATTTTGGACTTAGCTATGCAGTTACAGAGGGTTTACAAATTTTAGACTTTATGCTTTATTTTAGAAATATCTGGGTTTTTTGGTCAAATTTATTACAGTGGAGGGAAGCTGTAAAACTATAAGTCCTATTAGAGCAAATACCTAAAATGTTAATTCATGTTGAGCGTTCTTCCAACTTATTAGTAAAAATGAACAACTTAAAATGATCAGTTTCTCTGATTATACTTTTTATAGGTTTGAGTAAAATGAATATTGTTCTATGAACTGATGACATGTCTCTGAAATTTCAAGCAAAAATGTTTGTATTTATTTGCTGCCTTGGAAGAGAAGGAACTTCATGTATAGATTAAATTGGGAAGCTTCAATTAGCTTGACATGGCAGCTTTAATTTTTCTTACCAAAATAGTTTTCGGATAACCAAAACTTTAGAGAAAGTGTCTGTTTCTAATCCGCTGTTGCCCATTCTTGTACTCGTCTCAGATATATTTCATTTTAATGTTTTCCTTGGCAGAAGTGGCTCCTTTCATGCTTCTTCTCATCTTTATCCAGCTGTTCAGAAATCTTAACTTCTCCCTCAAATTTTCCATTTGTGGAAAAGCTGTGGATTAGTCACCAAGCGTCCCAGTGGTTAATCTGGGTTGGTGCTAGAACCAGTTCTTTATTGGTCTGGTTTCTGCAGCCAGAGAGTCTGAAGTCTCCTCCTCTAACTGTTTGGATTTCCCCCCCATTGTCTTCTGAATTTAATAAGCTAACAGAGTTCATTTAACTCCACAAATGCATTATTTATCCCAGTATTCCTGCATAGAGACGCCCTGTTGTTACTGTCAGCATCAATAAATTTACAAATTGCTCATTTAAAAGTGTTCATAAAATCAGCTGAAAATATTTATATCCAGTGCAAAACAATGGCTTTTTACTGCGGCTTTATGTCGCACTGACATACAGAAACTACTCCACTGATAAATAAGCTCTGGGAAGAGACTGAGTTAATCCCAGTGCTAATTGGACTTCATATTAAAGCTCAGTTCTTGGTGTTATTTTGGTCTTAATTGGGGCAAATTTGAAAAATTTTATTTTTGTCTGTGCTCTGTTTTAAACCTGCAGAGTAGGGCTGTGTAATAATATCGATTTTGAGATATATATCGATATTTTCTTTCCTAGAAAAAAAAAATCGATATTCATCCGCAAGTATCGTAACATCCAACTGTCATCTTGCTCACTCACTGCTTGCTTCACTGGGAGAGTGATTAGGTCATGAGGCTTAGAGTGATTCCTTCAGATGTTAAGTGTCAAGGTTAAAAAGGTATCAAACTATTCAGAGCAGGGTACTTGGTGCACTTTATTTACTTTACAAATGCATGTAAACTACAGTTTGCACTGTTTCAATTAAAAGAAACATGTTTTCTCACCACTTCTTTGTTTCATTTTATCCAGCTGTTGACTTTAAGTCTGTGTCCATGTCCAACCAGAGCCAGGTAAAGTGTAGTTGGTGCTTTTAATCAGTTTTCAGTTAAATTAATTCAATCCAACTCTATAACAGTCACAAAATGTCACCAAAATCACTTTGTCCCTCTGAAATCTTTCAGAAAATCGCAAAAGTGTATTGAATTGTATTGTTTGCTGAATATCGCAATGTATATCGTATCGTGAGCAGAATGTCGTGTATCGTATCGTGAGATT